TTGATAGTTTTAATAGTGCCATCCAATTTTATGATAATCGTTTTAGGCCTAATCAAACTGTAAAATTGGTGTAAATCCGTTGAACAAATATACAGGGTGACAAAAAGTCTGGAAACGGATTAATATCTTTTAAACTAAATCGGTTAGAAAAGTCAAACTTTTCACATCAACTTACATGTATAAAAACTACTTTTTCCAAGCATTTTCATGTTTTTACCTCCACCAGGGGACGACCCACAAGGAGTAGGTACATAATCTTAAATGTAAGCATTGGTTGATATACAGCATTTTAAAGTTCTGGTCAAGTGGAGTTCATTGCCGGAAACCGCATCTCAAAAGGTTCATTAGTTACAAAATGGCGGCATTTCAAAGTTCTTGTGGAATATACCTTTACAGGTTATATAACATTATCTTGAGAGCTAAAACCGTATTTTAAAGTCAACTAGCCCATATACTAAGTTTATTCAATCTTCAAAACAAATATAACCGGGTTTCAGATTTCCCGGCTAATTTTGACTATGAGTATTTACCATTACTAAGACCTGTAACGAATGAATCTTTTTTGACGCGGTTTCTGGCAATGAACTCCACTTGACCAGACTTTTAAAATGATGTGCATATCAACCTATGCTTACATTAAAGATTAAGTTATCGTGTCTATCCGCACGATAACTTGATTTTTGTCTGATTTTGATAAAATTTGGTTTGAAGGTGTAAGGCGGGATAAACTTGAATGTGTTCGCGAACCAGCATGATCGGATTGGTTTTATGGGGTAGAAATGAGTTTTTCTCATTTTATTCCTTAAATAACTAAATTTTAAAATTTTTTCCAGACCTTTTTAAAGAGCTTAAAAAATTATTTAGTATATCAAAGTGTTTTTGTAAGATGATTGGTTACGGAGAAAGTTCAAAATATTGTTAATTTAAAATTCCTATGTTATTCTTATGGAAAATATTAATACGTTGTAGTTGGCTTGTTTATGGATATATTTTGATCGAACTTGGCGGATTTATTTATTTCATACTAAGCTATTGATATTTTAATTAAAAAAAACACACATTAAGTTCCACGTAGCATCTAGATACTCGTTAGACATGAATTTTAATTTAATAGATTAATTGAAATTCAATCCAGGAAAATGGAAATTCGTTTAGTCCGCGGGTTTGCTGCAGTGGGAGTATTTTATTGATCATTTATAGTTATTTAAAGAATTAATTAATAATTGTTTTTCTCACAATGGAGATTTACAGTCATGTGTGCATTTGTCTTGTGGTTGTTAATCATATAATAGAAATGATTATTAGAGAGATGTCTATACAACTATGATTACTTACTTCCTTCCTTTGAAATCTCTTCTTATTTAAACAGTAAACAGCTAAATTATTTAGCATTGTTTATCAAATATTTTAAACCGATTTTGATTTTAATAATGATTTACATATGGAGTTTAACTTTCTATTGAATATTGTTTTAAAAAATTAAAAATCGTGACTAAACAATTTGGATTTTTTTTTTTTACTTGTACGATGTGTTAACCCCCTCCTACGTACGGGAATTCAGTAGTCAGTTAAAACCGTGTACAATTCAGATCAGCTAGTTTACACAAAGACAAAGTTTCTTGCAGTTTTAACGAGAAAAATCATCTTGTAAACAAGTGTTGTGTGACCAAATATGTTTTTATTCCATCACTAGCTGTGTACCCGTTCTACGCACGGGGATCTTATAATATTCAGTTGAAACCTTCTTATATAAAGAACAGCAGTTGGTTTGCATATTTTAAGATATGCTGGCCAAACTATTATACATAGCTTCATTTTATGTTGTTTTTTGTTGTTCCGGATCGGTATGACAATCAATAAAAGGTTAAATTACCTCTGTGTCTGCCGGTCGATCCTATAACGGTAGGCTTACTTTTATTTTTACTATCTGATCTCGTTTGCATGGCTCAATCACGTCCTGGTTGAAGTTCGTTCGCTACGCTCACTCACCTGTATGTTGGAGCTCGTTCGCTGCGCTCACTTTCCTTCAGGTTAGCTCGTTCGCTACGCTCACTTGCCTTCAGGTTAGCTCGTTCGCTACGCTCACTCGCCTCCAGGTTGCAAATTAGCTGTTGTCATAAATGTAAAAGAAATAATAGTGCTAGTGCTGCACCCTGTTGGTAATCCTTGTAACTTTAATGCTATTGAACATCACAGAACAGAACCAACTTGTTTAATTGAAACAGCTGTTAAGATTCAATAATTTCATTTCTCATAAGGTTAACATGGGCTTCCAGAAATTCCACGTCAAAAATCGACAAAAACTTGATTTTCAAGGGTTTACTGTTAAATATCTAACTGTCTCATATTCGATGAAATACGTCTAAAACCATCTCATATATGTATAGTATTTGGAAAATAAGTTTCAGGCGGGACAGTGCTATAGTTATTGAGGAGTAGTTGTAATAAAGTGCGTATTTTAGCGTTACCAAGAGAATGACAGATAGACAGACAGACAGACAGACAGACAGACAGACAGAAATTGAGATAAGGTTTGATTCGGTTTCTCTGACCTATGAAATGTAAAAATAACCAAAAAGTTCATTATTCTAAGCAATGTACAGACAAAACTCTAATTTTATTTATATAGATAGTCCTATACGATATGCATTTTAAATCCGATAATTTTACAATAGGTAAAACAGCAATTCTGCAATTTTTACGATGTCAAAACCGTTGAAGTGAGATTTGCAGCCGTTTCGCACGGACGCACACTGATTATTATAAGTAGCCTACAGTAGAGAGAGTAATAGTCAATTGAGAAGTGTATAGACCTAGTCAACAATACCACCTTCCATAGCATACCTGCCTCTTCCATAATTATTACCACCACAATACAACTACTATACACAATTTCCAGTAGGTCTGAATTGAAACTACCTAAAATAAAACGATAATATCCAATAAAATTCACAGTACGCGTAATTTAACTTTGGTGTCCTAACATCAAAACTAATCGTCACACCTATTAATTGCTAAATATATAAGCGTAAAAAAATAAAAGTAAAAACAATAACAGTTTGTTTTGAAACAGTTGTTTGGTTCAAATAACATTCAATTGAAAAAAGAACTGGTCACATGTAGCAGGAATATAAAAAGTAAACATGCTAGTAAAGCTAATGACGAAATTGTGAAAGGTTATCATCCATACCGTTATCAGTTCTATCCTTGAAAATTACCCACCCTCATAGAATAAATGTACATCGTAATTTCCCATATTAGTTAATTTAAACTACAATATATTCATCGTTGAAATGAAAGTGATATTTTCACGTTTGGGGGCGCTGATATAGGCGCCCCCAAATGTAACCACAACTGAACATGATTTCATAAAAGGATGGTTTGTCTAATTGCAGTATCCTAGGTTAATGTTGATGTTGTGTTCAATCTATGTCATCCATCTGTTTATCTTTGTATAAAACCCGGCTGAGGTTGAGGTGGTAATTTAAAATCGTGATTCCTGATTATTCTTCATCTTCTTTTTATGACATCAATATTTCCGCGCCTAATCCAAACAATGTCCAGACAAACATTAATTTTAAACAAAAAGCTACCATGGAGAATTAAAACATGTTAACATGGTAATTTTTCTAATCTTTCCTTGAAAAGTGTAGCACTAAAATAATTTGCATTTATCCTTTTTTATTAAGACTCGTGTACAGAGCCTCGATTTGTACTGTGGTTTAATTATTTTTTGTTAAAACTGTGGTCTAATTATCTCTCTCTACTAATCTTACTTATTTACTATAATCAATGACAAAATAAGAGTAAATAAAATAACCTCATAGTTCCATAGTTTATATTTAACCAGCTGTAAGTTAAAACAAATTAAATTGCTCTAAAACAAATCGAAGATTACAATGATTGCTTCAAAAAATAATTTGAACATCCTAGTATTTTACTATGTATATTTAATTAATCTGTCATCCTCTTACAGAAGAATTGAACGTATCAATGATTAGCATTACACATAGTATAAATAAGTCAACCCTAAGTATGTCTTTACATTTTTATCCAAATGCTGAATTTGTGACACAAAAGCTGAATGTTTACAGCTGTTATGTTAAGCAATTTATTTTATGCCAAAAGCTAGTTTAGAATCTTAGCGTCGGCTGCTAGACTTTTTAAAAATTAAAACTTAATTTCTAAAAAACTGGGACCCTAAACTAAAATTATGGCTTCGAAATTCCCTAGTTCTCAAAATTATATTTCTTTCAACACAAAAATCATGAAAGTCCGTCGAGTGGTTGATCAGAATCGTGAAATAAAAAACACTGTTTCGTTTTAATATTATAGATAACCTGTTTAAACTCAAATTAAAATAGAGAAAAATCCAAATATGAATTTTGAAACAGTTTTACAACAATATTTAACGAATTTAGAAATAGTTTTGAATTGTTGTATAATTTTTTAAAACTTATTTTAATCATGACAAAATTCCAAATTTGTCTATTTCAAAACAATTTAAAACATTTCAAAACTATTTTTTCCGACAATGCTTATGCTGTCTGGGTTATTGAAGATTTTTTTACTGAAATTGGCACCTAAAAATACACGTCAAATTTTACGTTATGATCCGTACGTATACGTATTCGTTATGTATAGGATGTTTCTTCAAACATCTATACATTTATTTATAATTTTTGTGAATTTCTTTGAGCTTATGAAGACTATGATTAAGAGATTTAAATTAGAAGAGTTTATGATTAAAAAAGGATATTAAGATCGAGCACTTTATAGAAAAATAAATAGAGAAAATTAGAATGATCCATGTTTGGTTGTCAAACACGATTTCATACATATTGAACTGTGAACCACGTGCAAAATTTATAGCATTTTGTGTGTATAATGGTGGAAGTAGTTTTGTCACGATATAGTTTAGAATTTAGCTTGAAGATAATGCTATCATCTATACTTATATTACCTCCGTTCGACCTAATCTCAATAGTTTGGAAGGAACCCACAGTCTCACGTAATGTTGTCGATGAATAAACTACTGTTTATGCATTTATTGTTTATCTATGGTATGAGCTATTATATATTTATAATATTATGTTTAATTTTAGGATGTTATTTTATAAGATAAATACAACTGATCAAAATGTCGATTAAGTTAAATGTTTTACGGCAACGGATATGAATAGTTACATAAAAAGACAAATAGATTACAGTAGAGTATATTTGCATTATAACCTCAATATACAAACTCTGTTAACAGAACATTTGTATCCACAGACCACCGCAAAAGATTTTGTGTAACTCTCGATACGATCTGAAGACTGTTGTATTTATAATATCAATACATTTAAAAGGCAAAACTTACAAAATAGTTTTTCTAGAAATTAGAATGTGGTCCCAGACAACTTAAATCATAAGATGTACGTGTATAGTTTATTAGCTTAAATTAAACATACAACCGATAAATACATTTGTAAAAGAAAGATATAACATGTAAAGATGTAACGTATAAAGTTTAAACGATTACAAGTGGTGATCGATTTCGATTCGATACTCTAATCATCATCAGACCTAATATGCGTATGAACGTCATTTCCTTATTGGGTCTGATGATAATTGGAGTATGTAATAAAAATATAAAATGTATTCAATTGTATTGTAGTTACGTTAGTTATCTGTTACAACATGTAAAACCACGTAAGTACAATTTTATATGTCAATACACTATAAGCGTTTAAGTTTTACCATCCATCTTTTCTTCATTTACAACACTCGACCTTATAATAAATAAATTAGAATAATCCTATTCACTAATAAAATCAATGTTTGATTGTATGTATGTGTGTATGCTTACTTGCTTGTACCAAGATCTCGAAAACGGCTCCGACGATTTTCTTCAAATATTGTAAATAGTTTTTTTTGGCCTAAAAACGAGTTTACTGCAGTTAGAACTGCCAACAAAAATCTAATTACGTAGAAAAATGAAACTGAAAGTCAAATTTTTTTTACATTAGCCTTATGGGTTGCTAAGTAACCATGTTGGTTGAATTTAATAACAAGGATAAAGTAAACAAAAGACTTGTAAGTAGTCTATCCACAGTATACTAGCAATTAATTACAAAATACAGTACAAAAGGAAAAACGTCAGTTGTTACTTTTGAGCAAAGATTATACTGAAGATTACTCGATACATTGTAGCAGGACTTTTTTTTATCTATGATTGTAGTAAAGGCTAGCAGTGTGGAGTGTGGGAACTGTATATGACGATAAGATTAAGGTATCTGCAATCTTAAAATGCAATGGGAAGGTAGGAAAACAGGTCCACAACGTAGAAAGTGACGAAGGAAGTAGTAAAGGCGAGCTGTCTGGAGTGTGGGAACTGTGAATAAGGATTAGAGTAAGGTATAGGAAAATAACCCTAAAATGCTAGGAAGGATCGGGCTTTCTCTATTATTATTATTTCATCGAAGTATATTTTTCCAGGAGCCCATTGTAACACTGATTTGAAGTATCACATGCAACCGGACGATGTTGATTCAGGAAAGTACGATCAATTATCAAAAAATCCACACCATATCTGTACTAGAGTCTGCAAGCCAGGGGATTATAGAGTTTGCTACTACCGATTCGTGGTAGAACACTACATGACCATGAATGGGTAAGATACAATTAGTATGATAGATCAATCAACAGTTACTGCAATCACCTTGCAAAAGTGGCGAAGTAAAATGTAATAAGCAAACGTTAATATCGGCCTTTTCTTAAGAATATGTACACGAATAGAGTTAATACCCAACTAATGGACATCGTTATATTTTAATTTGGAAAGTCTACCAGGCTCCTCTACACTGGCTCCCTAAGTTTTCATGTTATTACTATGAATACATTTAATATCAGAGTTACTAGTATATAAACCAGTTATTTTAAATTCTTTTTGAGGGTTTTCTTAACGTTTTGTAAATTTGTGAGTTATCTTGTGAAATGGACCACTAAGAAACTTTCACTCATTATGTTTGGTTATTATTATTATTTAAAGTTTGCTCATAATTATCTTCGAAATTTATAGAATGGGCTACAAGGAAGGAGAATTTATAAAATTGCTGAATTTGAGTAAAACATCTATCTTATAAAACATCAATTAAAATAATTGCTTTCATAACCACACTACAGCATGATGTTAAATTCCTTTATTTATTTTAAAAATAAATCACATAACGCCTTAGGAGTGTTTCTGCACACAGGCAGGTAAATTATCAAAAGGTACATTGTGTACGAGTATACAGACTGTCCCAAAAGTCCCGGACCGGTTTAATATTTTCTAAACGACAACAGATAAATCAACAAGATTTGGTACATCAACATCACACCTAAAAATCTACTTTTTTATGGAAATATAAATTTTCTGTCACATCATGGGGACGTCCCGCAAGGAGTCAGAAGGAAATCTTAAATAGAAGCATAGGTTGACATGTACATCAGATTAAAGGTCTTTACTAGCAGAATATAATGCTGCAAATTTAAACTCAAACGGACAACCAAGTCAAGAGTAAAGTGGTTCAAAGATTCATTTAATTTGCATTTGGGGGCAGAGCCCTAGGAGTCAGAACATTTTTGTTAGCGTAAGCATAGGTCGATATGCACATCAAATTAAAGGTCTTCACTAGTAGATTACAATGCCGTAAATTCAAGCTCAAAAGAACGCCTGAGTAAAAAATGGCAGTCGTTCAAAGATTCAAAATGGCAGGTTCAAGAAATCTTTGAACGGCTGCCATTTTGTAACGGGTGATCCTTTCGAGGCGCGGTTTCCGGCATTGAACTCTGCTAGCTAAGCCCTTTAAACTGATGTGCATATTGACCTATGCTCCTATTTAAGATTTCCTTATGACTCCTCGTGGGACGTCCCCATGATATGACAGAAAACTGATAGTTCCTTAAAAAAGTAGATTTTTTAGTGTGGTGTTAATGTGCAAAATTTTATTGATTTATCTGTTGTCGTTTAGGAAATATTAAACCGGTCCGGGACTTTTGGGACAGTCTGTATAATATAAGCAATAAGTAAAAATAAACGGTATCAGCATTCTGACACATACTTTCTCCCATAAGTTTGTCAACAACCTTTATCATGTGTAAACGGTGAGAGTAAATATACGGAAATGGGATTTGTACAATTTTGTTCAGAATTTAAAGGACTATAACATACTAAATTTTTATCAAAATTGTTCGAGCCAATTTTGGGAAATCCGATTTTTCCGTTATTTTATGGGGTTTTTATGGGGAAATAACATAATTTACAATAACTTTTGAACCGTAATTTTTACAGAAAAGGGATTTGTACCATTTTGTTTAGAATATAAAGGACTATAACATATTAAATTTTTATCAAAATCGTTCGGGCCATTTTCGGGAAAATCCTATTTTTCTGTTATTTAATGGGGTTTTATGGGAAAATCCCCATCTAAAATCAAAATTTCTAAAAAATGAAAAAAAACTATCAAAATTGTAAGGACCATAACCTACTATGTTAAATCAAAACTGGATTTTTGTCTAAAATCCTATTTTTCGTTATTTTATGTGGTTTTTATGGGAAAATAACATAATTTACCATAACTTTTGAACCGTAATTTTTACAGAAATGGGATTTGTACCATTTTGTTCAGAATTTAAAGGGCTACAACATACTAAATTTTTATCAAAATCGTTCGGGCCATTTTTGAGAAAATCCGATTTTTCCGGTTTTTTATGGGTTTTTATGGGAAAATCCCCATTAAAAATCAAAATTTCAAAAAAATGAAAAAAACGCCTGGAGATACCATGGATTAGAACCTACATACCAAATTTCATCGAAATCGGACCACAGGTGTAGTCTCTAGCTCTGTACACATCCAGACACACAGACACACACACACACACACACACACACACACAGACATCACTTCAAAAACCACTTTTTTGGGTCCAGGGGGACCCAAAACGAATATATCCACTCAAAACTCAAACTCGAAAATTTTGACGAAAACAATACTTTCTCCATATACTATGGTATAGGGGGAGAAAGTAATAAGTTAGGTTATTAGCGAAATTTACAAAGTTATATCAATGCCATTAAGTTTATGTCTACTACAATCAGACTGATAAAAAATCCTCAATGCTATAAAACAATTTTATAACAAGAAAGACAGTAAGTGAAACCGGAACTTTTTTAATGATTCCACCTCTTTCAGTGATGAAGGAAGCTTATTATATAGTTTGAGACCCATATAAAAAGTACTCCTTTCATAATTAGCAGATTTATGTATGCGATATTAACACAGAGCTCATGGGCCTAAAGCTGTATTGGGAAATAGTTCTTTTCCCTAAAAAAAAAGAAAAATGTTTTTGACAAAGATCAAAGTGTTGAATATACGCAAAGAGGGCACAGGTAAAATCTTCATTATAAAAATAAATCCTACTAGATGTTCTTGTACTAACTTGTGCGATAACTCTTATAATTCTCTTTTGTATTGTAAATATTCTTTTACTATATGTGGCATTTCTACAGAACTCAATACTATAGCCAATGTAGAGTGCACGTATGAAAGTAAACCATTATCTGTGTTTTTCGTCAATTATTTTAGAAAAAAAACTTTTATACTTTCCCGTTGCAAAGCACTGTTATACACGCTAGGATGACTAAAATATTCAAATCATATCTATAACATAATTATTACTAAATAAATATAAATAAGAATTGTAAATTACGGATTAAAAAATATATATTGTCATAGCAATAACTATTATTTCTAGCATTGCATAAAATCAGGGAGCTTATTTAGTAGCTTGATTATATCAAATAAATCTAGGACCTAAAACGACATTTAATGTTTCAGTGCATGTGGAAACTGTCCGAATGATACGTCGGCCTGCTCCGCCCAAGGCTGCGTTACAGCTGATGGGTTTGAGAAATCTGTCATTACCTTCAACAGAAAACTGCCTGGACCATCCATTCAGGTTGATTGGCCTAAGTTATTGTTGTAGAGTGTACATTCTTGACTATACAAGATTGTATATCAAAACCGAAGTGATTTCTTTAAACTATATTTTTCAGCTAGAGTCATAATAAAAACCATGTATGCTAAAAAGTCAACCGAACGTACAATTGATTGTATAATGTAATTAAGTTTCATTAATCTGATAGTGCAAATGATTCTAAGTAAAACGTTTTTGTTTATGGGTTGTATAACCAAATGTTTCAAACACAATCACGTGTATTTAGTGTATACAAAATTATTGTAATGTTTTCTGTGATATATTAGGAAACCTTTTTATAAAGTTGTTGTACAAATTAGGTAATAAAGCTCCTTTAAAGTAAACATAATCAACTTTTCTGTACTGTTTTCTGAGAAGTCTGCAAGGGTGACAATGTAGTGGCGAATATCAATAACTACGTAAGACGGCATCACTACCACGGTCTTCTCTAAAACTAGGAGCTATGGTTACTCGATTAGACTTACTATAGAAGTAGGCCTATCACACTGTGATTGTTTGTCAGGTGTGCAAGGGAGACACAGTGATTGTTGATCTTAAGAACCATATGGCCGGTGCCTGCGTTACCATCCACTGGCACGGTCACCTCCAGAAGCACTCCAAGTTCATGGACGGAGTGCCGATGGTCACTCAGTGTCCTATATTAGAGGGCCAGATATTCCGGTACACCTTTAAAGCTGATTATCCCGGCACCCAGTGGTACCATTCGCATAGTGGTAAGATGTATTAGATTCATTTACTTATTAATTGTTTTAAATATGTTGATAAGAACAAACATAGAAAAAGAGGCGAAGTCAGTTTCAAATCTTTTTTTTTTTGGTAAACCAATTTCATGATCGGCGTAAAAAATATTTCTACTCATCGGGTTTTACAGTAGAACTCATTATTTTGCCGCATATCTCTATAATAATAGTGTCCTGATGATTTATTAATCTATGTAAGAACTTACTGTACATGTTATTTCAATTTTTTAATTTCAATTTGTTTATTTCTCGCATGCGAAAATTTGTTGTACACTGCAGCGCCTTGTATACCTCTCTAGCTGCAAGCTATTTGAGAGGAAAACTTATATCTATTGCCTTATTATACTATCTTTTACAGGTACATCGTATAAATCCATTTATTTTATTTTCGAATTAAATAATATTTAATAAACAACCATAATTTGAACAAAAACATTTTTTTTTCTTTTTTTTCTTTTTATGTTTTTTTTTTATTATTATATTTTAATATGAGTTTGTATGTTTATTATATATGCGTGTGTGTGTGCATCATAATAGTATTATGGAAGTAGTTAATCCTGGGCCGGGCTGGTAGCCCCGTGTTAAAACTCGGGGCCGTCAATGCCTCTGTCACCCAGTTTCACCATTCCATATCATGTGTAAGTTTACATATACATGAGACAATCAAACACAATAATACTCATACTCATAAAATACTCATAAAACAACGAGTGATTAGCATTATACAATACCAAAAGACTTTATGAATAAAAACTAACAATATTTCCCTATCCTGTCTCCTCACTTTGGGAAAAAAAGCAATACCAATAATCCATTCCAGTCCAGTCCAGATCAAAATAGATGGAAGTAAAAAGTGAGGTTATGTAGCTCAAATCTCCATTCCTCAACTCATGCTTGGTTAATGACTACATTATACATGAAAATGTTGATAAAATTAAAATAAATAAATACCAAGTCCTATAATATTAGCCTATAGTCCCCCCAGTTTATGTTGTCGTGTTCTCTTATGTGATACTAACATTTTTTGTTCATTGTGACTAACTAATGTAAGTATACTAACTAACTAGGCTACTGTAATAATCAATGTGCTGGGTAGTGGCTATGGATTTTCTATAAAATAATTCTTTAGTTTAACTTTAACTTCGTTCTTACTTGCTATTGATCTTAAATCTAGTGGTAGTGTATTTAACAAAGTTGGGATTCTGTGTTCTAAAGTTAATGTTCCATAGTTATTGAAATGCCTTTCGGATCTAAATTGCCTATGCCTAAGATTATATCCCACATCATTTATTCTTCTAAAATCATCGTTGAAGTAGTGTCTCCCTAGGTCAGTATATTTAGCCAATGCATCAAAAGACATTATTCCTAAAAGATTGATTGGTATTTCATTAAACAAAACTTTAACAATCCTCTGTAACACCTGTCTAAGCTTTACTTTGATGTATTCAGGTGACAAATAGTAAATAGAGATCCCATAGTTAACAATACTCTGTACTAGTGAAAAATAAACCATTCTCTTAATACTGACAGGTAAAAACATACTTAATCTATAACATTTAAATAATATTACTCTTAACAAGTTAGATATTTTTGTAACATGAGTGTCAAATTTCATATCTGAATCAAGAAAAATGCCTAAATGCTTGATCTTGTCATCGAACGTTACAGCTTGACAATTACATTGGCCTACGGGTCCATTTGGAATTTCCAACTCTACACAATCTTTAGAATGACAATACAGCTTAATAGATATGTGTCTGCCTATAATTATTCTTGGGTTCTTAAAAACTATTGCTTTGGTTTTTTCTGCATTCAATTTAATAGAATTGTTAAAGAAATATTTGATTGCGAGATTTAAATCATTTTGCACATACTCCAATCCTACTGATAGATCCTTATGAATTACATATAAAACATTGTCATCAGCATATTGCAGAACATTACTTTTAAATTTAAGGCTAGCAAAATCATTTACATAGATATTAAAAAGGGAGGGGGACAGAATACTTCCTTGAACCAAACCGCAGGTTTGGTCATAGCTTGAGCTCACAGTATGGCCAATACTTACATGTAATTTTCTCTCTGCAAAATAGTTTTTGAAAAATGCTAACAACTTGCCCCCAATGCCAATGTCTTTTAACTTTTTCAACATTATATCATAATTTACCAGATCAAATGCCTTGGTAAGATCGGTTGCAACTGCTACAACAAACTTATTTTCATTCAATGCTTTATTAATATCATTTGTTAGAAGTTCTACTACATCTACTGTCGAGCAAGTAGGTCTGAACCCATACTGTGCTTTATTGATGATTTCATTTTTGTATAAGTAATTTTGTAGCTGTGCACATATATAATGCTCTAATACTTTTGTAATTGTTGATATTGACCCCACTGGCCTATAACAGTTTATGTCTTTCTTCGAACCCTTTTTGAATATAGGCCTTAGATAGGTGACTTTCATTGGTCTAGGTATAATACTTGTTTCTAATATATTTTTTAAGAGGTGAATCAATACAAGCTTTAAATATACAAAATTATTTTTTATGTCTTGAGGTCTTATGTTATCTGGCCCAGAGGATGATTTCGGATTAAGCCTATTTACCGCCGCAAGCAGTAAATCTTCATTGATTGTTATAAAATTCATGCTCATTCTATTTCCAATATTATACTTGCCCTCATTCATGTTTTGTGCTATTTGAAATGGGTTGCCTGTCATTTGCTGATTTACTTTTTCAATACTTTCTTTGAAATTATTTTTAAACCTTTCTGCAATGGTTGTAACATCGGTGTGTTCTTTTATTTCAAAATTATTCTTAATAGTTTCTATTATTGTAGGCCTAGGAGTTTTATTCATAAATTGATTAATTACTTCCCATGTATTTTTGACGTTACCAAAGTTTTCAGACAGTAACCTAAAATAGTGATTTCTTTTCTCCGCTCTTATACTTGCTGTCAGTGTGTTTCTGACCCTTCTAAAAGTGTTTCTAAGTTCTAAGTTGTATCTGTCTCTTTTAATTAGTCCCCATAAATATCTTTTTCTATCCACTAACCTTTGAATGTTATTATTATACCAGGGATTCTGAGAACATTTTTTATCTAACCTAACCTTGCTTGTACTTTTCCTATATATTTCTTGGAATGTTTCTACTATTTTGGTATATATTTCTTCTGGGTCTTTTAAATCTAAAATTGGCCACCAATTTATATTTCTTATTTCCGTATTAACCTTTTTTGTTACTATTACCTCTTTAAAACTATTGATCTCCTGGATTTCATTGTCCATACATAGGCCTAAGCCTAAATCTACTTTTAAGCCTGTCCAGTAGTGATCTGCAATTTTCTCTTCTACAATAAATGATGTAAATGTTATGTTATGCATTCTGACATTGACATGATCAAGGCATGTTGATACTAAATTGTTATTATAGAATTCCACTCTTGTGGGTGCCTTAACTGTATTGGCCATACCTTGAGAGTACAAAACATTGACATAATTATCTGCACCATACATTTGAGTTAGGTAACACAAATTGATATCCCCTACCATTACTAAATTTGCCTCATTTTTCAATTTCTCTGATGATAAGAAATTTTCAAGTTCACAATTGAAATCATTAACATTTAGGCTCGGTGGTCTGTAGAAGGCAGCAATAGTTATACTTTTATTCAATAGGAAAGTTTTAATGATTAATACCTCTGCAGAGTTAAAATTCACATCTAATACCTCTACTTTAATTGTTTTCTTATAAAAGATCATAATACCTCCCCCATTTCCTGACGGTCTACATTTCATCACAGTTTTGTACCCTGGGATTCCATACATACTACCTTCTTCAGCCGTTACATTTACTTCACTTAAAACTAGCACATCTGTATATTTTAAAACATTTTTACATTCTAACAACAACAAATCCCAATTTTTCCTTATACTTCTTATATTAATACATAAAATTAACATTTCCCTTTCATTTACTTTGTGAGTAAAAAAATTCACATTTTGGTCCCAACCTGCAAATGACAAAAAGTTCTCGTTGTTGACATACTCATTTTCTTCAATCTGAAAAATTTTTAATCGATTGATTGAATTTAGAAATAGAGAGAAATAAAAAAAAAATTGATAGTTAGCCTTTATTATGTTATGTGACTTAAGATCCTACTTGACTAGGCCTATACAATTTTGTTAAGGTCTGCCTTTTTAATAATTTGAATTGCTTTTGCATCTTTATGTTTTTTTGCCATTATTTTGTTTCCATTCATCCACAGATATTCGTACCCCTTACTCTTTTTCAAAACTTTTGCTTCCTTCATTAGGTTTGAGAAGTACGGTGTTAGATGGTCGTTAAAGTAGATAGCTCTGTCTGGATATTCCGAAGTTATCAATGACAACTGTGGTTTTTCTTTCCTAGCCTTATGTACTATGCTGTCTCGTTTTGCTCTTGTACTACACTGCACAAAGATAGGTGGTGTCTGGTCCTTTGAAGGTAGTCGGTGAGCCGTGAATTCCTCTTTTTTGATGTCAATGTCGAGAGCCCTCAGCAGTTGTACGACTTTTCCACTGACATCTTCTTCCTTAGTGGGAGGAATGCTAGTGATGATAAAGTTCTTGGATCTTCCATATTGTTGTTCACATTCCAAAGTTAGCTTTACTTTTTCTAGGTCTTCACGTAGCTCTAACGTTTCTTTCTTCAGGCTGTTGACATCTTCGGTGACATCGCTAATTTTTTCCTCTAAGCCCTTTATTGAATTCTTTATGTCGTCAATCTTCTCTAGAATTACTTTCTCCTGCTTATTAAACATTTTCTCAAGGAGTTTTTTTTACGCCAAAAAAGTTGGATCTGTCGGTTCATCTTTATCACAGCTTAACAAGCGCCCTCTAGTTCCATTATTTCTACATGTAGAGCATTCCCATTCTGCTTTCCTTTGGATACTCTTACCTTTCCAAGTGTTTTTAGAGACACCTGAACAGGTATAGTGCATATCTTCTTTACATCTACCACATGTCACATAGTCCCCATCAGTAGGTAAGTCTTTATCACACCCAGGACAAGCCATGATTGCTATTTATTAAGATATTTATATTTAAGAGCTTTTATTTATTATGTTAGTCTATTTACTGAGGAAATAATTTACTTTGTATGTATTTATTATATTCAGTCCTATAATTTTAGCTCCAAACCTAACCTAAAACTCACATGGAACTGAAGGTGTTGCTTGAATATTTATTATTTTCACTTTTTAAGACAAATCTATTTACTTATCTTGTTCCAATAGGATCTTAATGCATTTCTTGATGTATTAAAACATTTATATTTGAATAAATTAATTAAAAATTAGTTAATTAATAAGGAGTCCAAATTTAACCAGTCTAAGCTTGGTACTGCCATAGAGTAATTTAATAGAATAATAGAGTAATAGAGTAATATAATAACAACCATAATAATAATAGTATAATAATAATAATATTTTTGTTAACGTGAAACAAATTTAACAATTATTAGATGGCATCCGTTAGTAGTTAATACAAGCGTAACAAATAACAACAAAACAAATAAATACATCGGCATAATCAATTCAAAATACTCATGACTAACAAATGATGCTATATATACGAAAAATGTTAATTAAAACTAAAAGAAACCAAAGCTTGTTAAAAACTTGTCATACTTCAAAATTGGAACATGGTTTGATGAATAGGTATAAAAAAAGCTACGTTAGTAACGGTACAGATTATTCATGGTATTTCATTTTTCGTGGATTAAACATTATGGGCTATATCATCATTGAATTCCTATTCTGTTTACAAAATGTAAAATTATGAACATGAATTCACGGGTCGGTTCCAAAGTTTGAATAAACAATTCAACCATAGTATTGTTAAATATAAATGTGATATATAGACATATTTTGGTCAGTAAAGGTAAAGACTATCCTAAAATGTTATTTGCCCACTATTTTATTAACATATTGCGTAACCACTTGTCGTTTGTGAAATCAGGTCTCCAGAAGGTGGACGGCATGGCCGGTGCATTGATTATACGATGTCCCAAGGAAGAAGATCCTCACAGGAAGTTGTATGATTATGATCTTCCATCTCATGTTTTGGTAGTGCAGGACTTACAGCACAATACAGCAGAGACAGTGTATCCGGGGGTCTGGACACGAGGTCTGGACCAGCTGGCTAGTACTTACCTCATAAACGGACGGGGGCACTACGTAAGTTATTATAACCTTTTTGCCATATTACTCCACTGGATCTGTAAAATTAATAGGTGATTTTTTGAAACGTACTGACATTATTTTTTATAAACTAAATCGAGTTTTTGGATTGGTTTATTATTATTTTTTAAATGTATTATTCTAGGTATTATGTATTATTACGAATAATTGTTTTGTTGAATAAAAAGAAAGATATACTATTCATAAAAAAGAGTACATACAGATTACCGTGATCAGTACGCATTGTAGTTATATCGATTGTAGATTATTCCTTATATACAGTATTTGATTATATGAAAATAATAAACAATAATAACTAATAAACAACATTCTCAACTTATTTAAAAAAAAAAATATTTAATTACTGAATTGCTTTTGGGTTAGAATGTGTCCAAAATGGAGATGTATATGGATTGAATGAAATTAAATAAATAAAATGAATCAACTCAGAAAGATGTTGTCACTGTGAACCCTTTACTAAGACGAAAGTCTGAAAGGTATTATGCTGTAATATGATACAAGATCAACGAAACATTAAGCATTTTTGTTTCAGCTAAACGGAACTAAGTTTCCTCTATCTGAATTCAACGTGACTAAAGGCAAGCGCTACGTGTTCCGTGTCATAGCTGCCACTTGTTATACCTGCCAATACAGCATGTCCATCGAGAAGCACAAAATGACCATATTAGGAGCAGACGGATCGTACACAAAACCCTATGAAGTTGATCGCTGTAACATGTCCCCAGGTATATGTAACGTGTAACCCATAGCTTATTTACACCTATTTGTTTAACGCTGACCTTAAGTTTATTTTCAAGTATTATAAATGTGAGTATAAGTTTTGGTAGAAAGGAAAATATGTCGTATAGCTAAAATTGCTACTTGTTTAATGTACCGTTTCACAAAATCATTTAACTAAAGGTGACGAACTTAGAAAAGAAAAATGTTAAAATTTTTACAATTACAGAATAAACCTTTGTAATAGCATTGTAAGAAAACCAAACAACGACGTGAAAATATTACACTCTTGGTTCTCCATTAGATCTGTTAGTTACTAAAATTCTTTTAATTTGCTTCATATAAACAAAAACGTCCTAGCAGATCCATTAAAAAAAGTCAATTAATGAGTATGCAAAACTATTAAAACAGAATGGAAAAAATTCACCCAACTGTTGAGAAATGGACATTGGTTCGATACCTGTTTTCGTTTTAGTAACAGAAATTTATAAATGCATCTTTACACGTAGATTTTGGATTCCATGCATTTATTTAATTTGACCTGATAGCTAGGGAAATCAAATGAAAAACAGTGTCCTATTTACTTGACCAAAAAGTAATACATTCATATATTTTCAGGGGAGCGGTTTACAGTGAAGATTGATTGTAATCAAAAGAAAGGTGCTTACTGGATACGAGTGAGAAGTGTAGGTGCGTGTGCTAGTAAGAAGGCTTATCAGCTGGCAATTTTAAGGTATAATGGTTACAACGGTATGCCCTCAACCCCAAGACCTAATTACGACACAGACATCAACGACGCTGGAACGGTAAGATAGTTTTTTTGACATTAACAACCTAGCTAAACGGTCCTAGTGACTGTATTCATGCAGTGTTGTTGAAGGTTACAGTTCAGAGGGAAAATTAAAGCCCAGAATCCAGCCTCCAAATGGTAGTAGGCCTACAACTGTAGACAATAGAACATTATTTTTTATGATAGGCACCTCGTAAGGAGTTAAATTCAAAGATTGTGTGAATCGTATAACTTTCGTTTGAGTTTCCGGAATGAGTTATATTTGACACTCAAACGTTTGAAGAAAGCTGTACTAATGACTGACCAACGTTGCTTCAAGTGTAACGATATGTAAAAGTGAAACATTCTCTCAATACACGAGCAAATTTGAAATGACACGGCCAAAACCGTAACATCCCCGAAGTTAGGCTATATTTACTCTTTTAAGAAAATAGAGGCTCACATTATTATCAATTCAATCAGGTAGCTGTCTCGCAAGGGCTGTTCAGACAGAAATAAAGATGTCTCCGCAATGCATCTGTAGTCTTTGCTATTATTTATGAAAGGAATACTTTGCGTTCAAAAATAAACGGATAGGAGGAGACGTCCCATTATCAGTTGTTTGATTGAAATGTTTCAATGGGGCAAGAGAGACAAGCTGGGCATCAGACAAGTGTAGTGAAATGTCAGAAATTACAATTAATTGTAATAATAAGTCCCCTGAATGAAGTGGCTCGGGTCTTTGGTCGACCGTTTCATCAACATAAAATAGGTTAATAAAAGCGGACCATCTTAACTGATTTCTTTTTAATTTTACTCAGTTTACAAACTATATTCAATAGGAGACCAAAATAGCTTTTTAAAAAGTTGACTGTATATTATATACTATGGAGAAACCTCGAAAGAAAGCAAAACAAAAACAATTATGTCAACATGAGTATTTGTTTTAAAGTCTATTAATCAAGAAAATTAATTAAAATAACTTTAATTCACTTCAAAATTACAAATAATTCGCTGTTATATAATTTCTGTATATAATTCTGTTATATAATGTATAAGCTGTTATACATATTATTAGTTTGCTTACGACAAACCTTGATAAATCTATATAAAAAAAAAGAAAATTTAAAAATAATTTTGTATTTAAATTTAATGTACAATATGATAATATAATGTAATACAAACAATAAGATACGTGTTTTGAAGTGTAATCAAAACTCAATTTATGATTTAAGTACAAAGATTTCCACATATTAATGTGCAGTTTATTGACAGCTCTAATCGTCGTACAACCCATAAAAGTTAGCATTTAAATAACTCTAAATAAAAAAAACAGTTATCATTTTTCCAATCATCGTATCTATTAAGAAAGAAATTTTAAGATGTTAACGTAAAGTCTACAAAAAAGAGAAAAGTAATAGAAATTATAAGTTTCCCGTTTTCCCCGTCCATCAGGCCGGCACGCTGTTTCAATCACTCGAAATCGAGCAATTGCTAAAAGTATTACAGGAACTATTTCAAACGGAGTGGATCCTTAATAGATAACTCTCCTAATATTGTTGGATTATTATATTTTATTTGACTTGTTAAATATTAAGTATCTCACTCACTCAATTGATATAAGCTCATTTCAAACAATATTTAGGCTATTGTAAATATTTTATTACTTTTCGGGAGCTGATCTTGTTTATTGGTTACTTTTAGGCAGTTAATCCTTCAAGATCCAATTGCACTGAGGAAAATAGAAAAACACTTGGACCCTGCATTTCCCAATTACAAGGCACAGAAGAAACTCCGAAACACATTCTTCAAACATGTGACCAGACAGTTATTATGGCTGTGGGATTTTATCGTTTTCCTAATAACACTCCATATACTGACCGTGAGAAGTACCCAAAATATATTTGTAAGTATAAAAAACATGACAATCATGACACAGCTTAATATTACGAATGGAACTAGAATTATTTTTGAATTACAGAGGCAAATAAGAATATTATGTTTTCCGATCAAAGGAGGACGATTGAACAACTAAAGATACCCTTTCTTCATGAAATATAGAAATAAATCCCATAATATCACACAAATATGCTCATGGTGTGGTTAAATTCAACAAAAATTTTAATTCTTAAATAGTAACAGCATTTATTGTCAGTCTACATTATTTTTACAAAAACAACAAGCAAAACATAAAATCTTCGAAATAAAAAACGAGTAAGTTCTCCCAGTATTAAATTTTCAAAACACATTTATAATTAAGTAGGCCTAATAGATTTTAGCTTTAACACACTGGAAACGTAAAGTAAAGAGGTGTATCTTACATTGCCTGCATTTAATTAAATTGTAGTATTTGGTTTTACATTACCTTTTATCAGTTCTAAAAAGTAACCTTCGTCAAAGTATTATATGTTTCGGCGAGCTGCCATTCTCAAACACTTCATTACATGAATCTATATATTAATTACGTAAGCCGATTCTTTGCGTGAAAGTTTTGGGCGACTGGGAAGTCGTAGAACGACGGGAGAGGGCTCAAATTAAAGGTCTCAATCTCGTGACGGCGGGAAAAATAGTGAAATTCTCCAAATCTTAACACAAATTTAGATATAACGTAAAATGTTCTCAATAAGAATGGCATTAGAAGCCATTTACTGCTGATTTTTGATTATTTCAATATTTCATTTGGGAATCTCATTTACCAGTAAATTCTGCAATGTACTGTATACTGTATAACACCATGGATAACGTAACCTTTAATAATTAAGAATTTTTTGTTACGTCTTATAAAGTTGAAATCAACTGTTTTACTGGGCAATTAGAAAATTGTTGTACTTTTTAAGTAAATCACTGTAATTAGTTAAGCATATGATAAGTAGTGGAATCATAGGAGATGGCTCAAACCAAAGGAATTGAACTTATAATTGTTGAAAAATAATAGTTATTGTTGTTTTGGATTATTTTTTTTTACATTGAATAACAACATTGACTAAATAATAAGCAATTCAAGATTAAATGGAAAACTTCTCCTTTGTTTTGATTTCAAAACATATGTTAAAGATTTATTCTACCAAAGGTTTATATTTATACTTATTTATATTTATACGTTTGCTGCCATTAGGAGAGTTTAACCTCTGGAATGATTCAAATTATTTATTGAAAATATACGGTGTACAGACAAACCTATTTTGACACAAAGGTTATTTAAACCTGGGTTTGTTTAAATATTAAAATAATTTTTTTACAATAATCCCGCCGTCACGGGATTGAGACCTTTCCCCCCCTTTTGACCTTTTGAGCCCTCTCCCGTCGTTCTACGACTTCCCAGTCGCCCAAAACTTTCACGCAAAGAATCGGCTTACGTAATTAATATATAGATTCATGTTATGAAGTGTTAAAGAATGGCAGCTCCCAGAAACATATAACACTTTTACGAAGGTTACTTTTTAGAACTGTTAAAAGGTAATGTAAAACCAAATACAGGGTGTAAATTAAGTCTGGCACACATTTTTTATCTTTTTTTCTATAGTAGATAGAAGAAATCAATTTGCGGGAATGATTAATAACAAATGTTAGGCACTTTTTACAAATTTTGAAAATAATAATTCCCTTAAGGGCAAGGGGGGGTGGGGGGTAACTAAAAATTTTCAAATGACAACCCCCATCTTGTGACCCCTTATTTTAAAGGTCATTGGAAGACAAATCCAAAGATGTGTCTGAAAAATTTTTTTCTGCACCCTATCCAAGATGGCGGTTTAAAATGTACTTAGGGTTGAATGGGTAAATTAGGTATGGCACACATTTCTTATCTTTTTTACTCTTTGTAGATAGAAGGAATTAATTTGCGGGACTGAGTAAGAACAAATGTTTGGCACTTTTTCATAATTTTGAAAAAAAAATCCCCTTAAGGGTAAGGTGGGGGTGGGGGGTAACTAAAAATTTTCAAATGACAACCCCCATCTTGTGACCACTCATTTTCAAGGTATTTGGAAGACAAATTTAACGATGTGTCTGAAAAAAATTTTTTTGCATCCTGTCCAAGATGGCGGCTTTAAATGTGCTTGGGGTTAAACGGGTGGGGTCTGGAACACAATTTTATCTTTTTTGCCATTAATAGATAGAACTTATCCACTCGTGGGACTGAGCCAAAATCAGGCACCTTTTTATTTATTTGAAAAAATCCCCTAATGGTAAGGGGGGGGGGGGCAACTAAAAATTTTCAAAAGACAACCCCCATCTTGTGACCCCTCATTTTAAAGGTATTTGGAAGACAAATTTAACGATGTGTCTGAAAATGTTTTTTTTGCATCCTGTCTAATATGGTGGCTTAAAATGCATTTAGCGTTGAACGGGTGAATTAAGTCTGGAACACCTTTTTTCCTTTATACTCTAACTAGCTGCACCCGCGGGCTTTGCTCCGTTTTACTTCATAAGTGAGCTCGTTCGCATAGCTCAATCACGTCCTGGTTGAAGTTCGTTCGCTACGCTCACTCACCTTTAGGTTGGAGCTCGTTCGCTGCGCTCACTTGCCTTCAGGTTAGCTCGTTCACTACGCTAACTCGCCTCCAGGTTGAAGTTCGTTCGCTACGCTCACTCACCTTTTGGTTGCAAATTAGATGTAGTCATAAATTAAAAAAAAATAATAGTGCTGCACCCTGTTGGTAATCCTTGTAACTTAAATGCTATTGCACATCATAGAACAGAACCAACTTGTTTAATTGAAACAGCTGTTAAGATTCATTAATATTCCATTTAAATATGAGTACTCATAAGGTTAACATGGGAAACTCCAGAGCCACTGGGGCGGAGCCCGAGAGTCCGATCAGAATAAAAATAGCTTAGTTTTCCTATTTAATGTCTAAAGAATCAGTGTACCAAATTTCAGCCTCCTAGGTAAATGGGAAGTGGGAGAATTAGTGATGAGTGAGTGAGTGAGTGAGTCAGTGAGGGCTTTGCCTTTTATATATATAGATGTTTGATAGTGTAAAAATTGATTACCAATACAATAAAATAGAATACCAAATAATTACAATAATACTACAACCCTACAACAACAAAAACACAATAGCAATCAAAATTAATAGAATTCCTAAACTAAATAATAAATGTAATTGCAATAATCAACTTTACGTACTTGTTAATATTCACAAATGCTCAAACTGATGCCCAAGAGAAACTTGACAGAGCCCCAACCGATTGTAAAATTCGTTTACCACCCTGGACAGCGTTTCTTCATTAATAGATCGTGCTTCCATTATTATTCTTGCTGTGAGATCCTGGATGTTTTCTGGGCGGTTAACAAATACTCTACTTTTTAGGTGGCCCCACAAAAAGTAGTCTAACGGCGTCAAGTCGGGTGATCTGGCAGGCCATTCAATAGCTCCCCGCCTCCCTATCCAACGATCTGGAAAAACTTCGTCCAAGTAATTTCGGACTTCAGCATTATAGTGAGGTGGTGCGCCATCTTGCTGAAACCAAATGTTCTCGTTGACAACATTTTCTTCGTCTTCCGGAGGAAACTCATGGGCAATGGCAGGTACTATCGACTCTCGCAGTAACTCCAGATAACGGTTTCCGTTTAGATTTCCTTCGATCACGAATGGCCCTATTAATTTGGTCCCGACAATGCCTGCCCAAACATTGACTTTTTGGGGATTTTGAGTATGGCATTCTTGAGCCCAATGAGGATTTTCAGGAGACCAATACCTATAGTTTTGTCTGTTCACGTGACCATGAAGACTAAATGAAGCCTCATCTGAAAATACAATTCTATTTTTGAACATTGGATCCAAAGTACACCGTTGCATCATGAGTTCACAGAATTCAATCCTGCGGTCAAAATCGTCCTCGTTCAATTCATGTATTAACTGAACCTTAAAAGGATGAAACTTCTCGGCTTTAAGGGCTTTGTGGACCGACATGTGACTTATCCCAAAGTCATTTCCAATCCTACGTGTCGATGTGTGATGATTTTCTTCAACGCTAAGAAGTATATTCAGTCTAGTTTCTTCAGTGAGTACAGATTTTGGCCTACCACTTCTTGGTTTACTTGCAACATCCCCCGTTTCAGCAAACTTATTACATATCTTAGATACTGTAGCTCGATTAATTTGGCGATCAGGGTACAAGTTGTTAAAAATATCACACGCTTCAAGTTGAGTCCGTTTTTTATCTCCATAGCCAACAATGACAAGTATTTCTATCTTCTGTTTTGTTGTTAACAACGCCATGTTAAATAAAAATAATAAAAGATGTACTTACGACTACTCCAAAGAAACTACCTACACAGACTGAAGGGGAATAAGGAAAAACTGATAAGATTGTTACCTGATTAGCCTGCAGTCTTAAGAAAGAGGATAGGAATTCCAAGTGAGTGCAACGTCCAAACCTGGAATCTCAATTATCAGATTTATTTACTAAGTGATAAGAGCTACATAAGTTTGTTTATTGCAGTTCGTCCTATTGTCCAAGTTTTTCTGATATAAACTATCAAATCTATTATAACTTTATTTTTGGTAAAAAAAAAATAAAAATGTGTTTCAGACGTAATTTACTTGTTCAACCCTAAGCACATTTTAAGCCGCCATATTGGACAGGGTGCTTAAAAAACATTTTTAGACACATTGTTAAATTGGTCTCTCAAATACCTTTAAAATGAGAGATGTTGAAAATTTTTAGTTGCCCCCCCCCCCTTACCATTAGGGGATTTTTTCAAATAAATAAAAAGGTGCCTAATTTTGGCTCAGTCCCACGAGTGGATAAGTTCTATCTATTAATGGCAAAAAAGATAAAATTGTGTTCCAGACCCCACCCGTTTAACCCCAAGCACATTTAAAGCCGCCATCTTGGACAGGATGCAAAAAAAATTTTTTCAGACACATCGTTAAATTTGTCTTCCAAATACCTTGAAAATGAGTGGTCACAAGATGGGGGTTGTCATTTGAAAATTTTTAGTTACCCCCCACCCCCACCTTACCCTTAAGGGGATTTTTTTTCAAAATTATGAAAAAGTGTCAAACATTTGTTCTTACTCAGTCCCGCAAATTAATTCCTTCTATCTACAAAGAGTAAAAAAGATAAGAAATGTGTGCCATACCTAATTTACCCATTGAACCCTAAGTACATTTTAAACCGCCATCTTGGATAGGGTGCAAAAAAAAATTTTTAGACACATCTTTGGATTTGTCTTCCAATGACCTTTAAAATGAGGGGTCACAAGATGGGGGTTGTCATTTGAAAATTTTTAGTTACCCCCCACCCCCCCTTGCCCTTAAGGGAATTTTTATTTTCAAAATTTGTAAAAAGTGCCTAACATTTGTTATTAATCATTCCCGCAAATTGATTTCTTCTATCTACTATAGAAAAAAAGATAAAAAATGTGTGCCAGACTTAATTTACACCCTGTATGATATATTACAGTTCCGGGGCTACACCAATGAATTAAATTGTTTTTTAATTGAACTAAAGTGTTTTATTTCAATGGTTTCACAACACATTTGTTAATAACCGATAATATCACTGGGTTTATAGACTCTAATGGTTTTCACTTTCTCATATCTGCCTCCTTTACTGAATAAAATCTTGTGTTGATGCCAAACGTTTAATGCTAAGACGTCTGTCCTCCGTTGTTGATCCGTATCAAATCTTGAAGCTAGACTAGAGTAATTTAGTAATATGAATTACTAGTACTATGGTAGTTCGATTACTCTCATAAGAAACACAAATTAAATCGACTACTATTATATTTTTGTGTTTTTAGCTATAAACGAACTTTGTATTTCTATTATAAACATAAACTACCACATAATTTTGATTACCTCATAATGGAAAAAATGATAAATATTTATATCATAGAAAAATATCCTACACATGTATAAATTAAGTACCTGATAGTTACGAAGTATTTTTAATATTAAAAGAACATGATAAAATTGGAATAACTGAAGAAACTATCATTTTCAGCTGTCGGCGCTAACAGTTTTAGCAGTACAGTCAATGGGAAAACGTACATTCTTCCACCATCCCCGTTATTGTCTCAGTACAGAGATGTTCCTGGGCACTTGTACTGTCCACAAGATGACTACTCAAACTTAACTCGCTGGAATACTGAGCTCCACGAGTGTGTACATGTCATCAAGCTACGGAAGAAGACATGCGTAAAATTTATTATTGTTGATACAGGTCAGTGGGAGTGGTCTTAATAATTAAGGCAAAATATTGTTTCCATTAATGTATACGAGTATGTCTACGTAATTCAATTCCGCAGTGGTAACTGTGTCAGCTTGGAGGTCATCATAGTATCCTGTCTATTTCACACACCAAGTGGCCTCTTGCACCTCTCAAGGTCGGCATCAGTGTCCCCGTAGTTTCAATAGCTTAAGGAGTAAAAAAAGTCTCCTGGAAGGTCAAGTTCATGTCTCCAGTTCATAATTTATGCTTCGCCTCTTAAGTTGTTTGCATCCACATACAAATGGGCAAACATGTATTCTTATTTAGCTGCTTCTGATGCTATTGTGGAGACTCAATTCGGAATAAGGTTCCTCAAATATATATTTTTCTTCCTAAGTATTTTTCTTGGAAATTAAAATATATTTTCCTACAGTAACCCGACAAAGTTGGCTTCCTTGTGCTGTTTATAGTACAGAAAACTGCTAATTGCTGCATATTTATACTTTATCGTACGGTTTATACTTTGGCGCACATCAGGATTCCAACGAAACAACACAAAACAGCATGGTTCTATTATGCACGTAATCCGTGTACGCTTGGAAATAGGTTGGCAACACTTAAAGATAATAATACTATGAGCAGCTGATTGAATACGATTTATCCTGTCATTTCGTGTTTATAGTTACGGTATTTCTGAACTTTCTGGACTTTTCTTTTTAACGTTTTAAAGACATTCCTACGATCTTAATAAACAAGAAAATACATTTAAAGCATTTTTTTAGGCACGAAAACCACTTCAAATTACAAAAAACATACGGACCTATTTTCTCAAGTCGCGGAGCACATTGCTTGCCAAAGAATAAATAGCGGAGTGATATGGACCGGTGACTCCTTCCTCTAGGACACCTATTTGTGTTGCCAGCTGAACCTAAAATCGTGTTGTATAGTGTTTGAAAGACTAATTATTTATATGCTTTATAGTGACTGTAGGAAAAATATAATGTGTAACACGAGTGCAAAAGGCCTTTGCTGCACTCGGGATCATTCCGCACTCGCCAGGATTGCACTCGTGTGCAGCAAAGTGCCACTTTGCTCACTAGTTACACAAATAACTATTTTACAAAGTATTACAAACAGTTTTAACTAATAATTTAAATCAATTCAAGGTTGTAGAATGCTGCAGCTACTAATTTAGTAAATAATAAATTATTTGCCAAACGGATTTGGTCAATAACTTCAGCCGAAGCAGCTAAATAATAAACTGTTTCAGCTTAAAAGTGCAAGGCTGTTGTGTACTAGCAGTTCGCAAAATGTCCGGTCGTTGTTTACGTCCTGTCATTTACCTGACACCCCCGAAGCCTCCACCCCTGTCATCTTCTTTTTATATCCATCAATTGGCACGAGTGCTAATTAATGTATTTAATGAAATAAAAACTTAATTAATTTCAGACTAATAGTAGTATTATTATTCTGAAATTATTTACATATTTAATGCATTAATTAGCACTCGTACCAAACCGATGTTATATGTATATAAGCCATGTGTTTTGTGGTAAAAACCTACAAAAATAGCTATTAAATAATTATTATTCTTATGAAACAATATCATATTAATTCAAACATGTAATGACAGATCAGTAGTATACATAAAGGATAACGATACATGCAGAGTTGCCGTCCTTCATACGGGGTTGTCGAGGTTTGAATTGTGTTTATTGCAATACCTTTTTGTATAAATAAACCATTAAATTTTTAAAGTGTATGCCCTATCAAAGCACATGTTAAGTGTATTAACATTTTAAAAAGAAGGATATGAAAAAATATAACAATAAAATGATTTACATTGGCTAACTGTAAATGCTTACTTAGTGTTAGAAGCTAGGTTGATACAGCAAGGGTTATAAAATCTATCTTACTTAGTAAGATCTTATAACCGTTATAGCCTACAATCAATAATCAATTATTCATCAACATCTAAGAATAAAATAACTGCCAAATGTTTGTACAGAATATGAAAAGCCTTTCAAATTTTTAATCCAGCTGTATTGAATTTTAATTTAAAGTGCATTTAACGGTTCTGCTTGTTTACATTGAGATTTCATTGTAGTTGTAAACATTGTGAGTTTTCTCATTGCAGCCATGGAGACCAATCAATATTTACTTTTAAAATCCTCACATAAAAACTATAAAAGCCGAAAAGGCAAAGTCATCGACCAGTATCGAAGTGTGAATAGTCCTAAACAGATTCTGGTACTTACGTATTATACGGAGGCCACTAATTTTACAGCGCGCTGCGGCGGTTGGGTTAAGTTGGGTTATCATAAATATGTTTGTAGAACTTTCCTAGTTTCGTTATGAATCGAACTATACGAGATGAGTCATAAAAGCTTATGATAACCCAACCTAACCTAACCGCCGCAGCGCGCTGTAAAATAAGTGGCCTCCGTATAATACGTAAGTACCCAGATGCTTGATAGCTATATTTTTTTTTAAATTTGAGCCTAGTCGAAAAGTAAGTTTGAGCTGCATTTGTATGTTTGAGTAACACAAACACACACACACACGGACACCGTTAGATTGCACACACACACGTGTCTAATAAACTATAGTAGAAAATATAGTCGAGTACGTTTTTATTTGAATAAAAGGCTAGGTTTGCCCTAGAAACTTTGACAAATGGCTTTTACAGATAAATAGTGTGCTTGCTAAACTAAACAGGTATCTTAATAATTTCGTAGTTTTACGTAATGCTTTAAATAATTTTTACAAGCTCTTTTACCATTCCTTTTGAAAATAGGGCTTTACGTTGCAGGAAATTTTTTGAGCCATCCAATGCATCTTCATGGGTACAACTTCTACGTTAGTAGAATGGGAATATTACCTGGCAATGGAACCTTCAGTGACAAAATGAACGCTTTGTTGAAGGAGGAGAAAAACAAACCGTGTCAGGGTTCCCACATAGTTCAGAAGGACACTGTGGCAATACCTCCTGGGGGATATTGCATTGCATGTATCTACACTGATAATCCCGGTAAATATATCTAATGTCTGTATTACAAATAATATTTATTATTATTATTATAGTAGTAGTAATAATTAATAATAATTGCTATAGTAATAAACAACCATTGTGCCTAACACGTTCAGTCAATCGATTTTGAAGACTTAGCATTGTGCGACGCAGAGTCCTCAGGGATGGTAGCGACGTGTTCTTTGATTTAAGACTTGAGCCAAGTAAGATTTCTTTACCTATTCTGGTACACAACGCTCTTAAGATGTGTTTTACAAATAATAATAAATAATAATATTAATTATTATTATTATTATAGTAATAATTAATAATAATTACTATAGTAATAAATAAAAATAACTACTACTATAGTGATAAATAATGATAAATGTTTGACAAGATTGTTGAATCGCTCTCGTCCTATGAATGTTTATTCGTGAGTAACTCGTGTTAACTGTGATACTTAGTTCGAAATGGCTAACTATACACGAAATGTATAGTTAATTTAGTTTTTAATCACTCGTATTGTGTTATGAATGCCTTAAAACCCGTAATTCTGTACCACTAATGAAAATAAGCTAATGTTTCCATGGTCAATCCCAGCACGTATTGTCAAATGTACTATCATACTCATGCTATCTATACTAGAAAGATTTACTCACTCACTTAAATGGCATAGTTAGTATAATATTTATTTCCAATTCATGTATTACTTTTTCAGGTTACTGGCTGTTTCATTGTCATTTCGCCTACCATTACGAGTCAGGCATGGGGGCTGTAATGATGGTAGGGGAAGAGTGGGACATTCCCAAACCACCTGAGGGGTTCCCAACATGTGGAGATTACCTTCCACGGTGGCGAGGTTCTCACGAGAAGAGCGATGAGTATAGCGCTAGCGACAGCAGTGGGTACGGGCATAGATATGGATAAACCAGTGTTTTAAAACTGTTTTGTCGATTAAGAAGAAATGAGTTTGTATTAAGAATCAGAATAAACCATATGCATTACTTACAGAGTGACTTTATTCACCCTTAACATTCTGTTACTAAAACATACAAGCTACTAATACAAAGTTTACCGAGCTTACTGGCCATGATTCCTTAAACATTATTTTACAAATGGCCCCTGGATAGAGTTTTCTTCCTCTAAGGATAAATATTATACAACACATAGACAAAGCTGTGTACAGATGCTCAGATGCTTCACACAATAGACCAAAAAAATTAAAGCGTTGTTATAGCTTGAATACAATCTTATTATTAATTCACTATATTGTAAAAACTAAAAGCGCATAGATGATTTATTTTTTAAGTATATATTTAATTATTTGAAAAATAATAATGTGCTTTTGTATGACTATCAACACAAATAAGCCCTATATTTTCTTTTAAAAAGGATATTTGAAATAGTAATTTTACACCCAAAAATACTATCGGTACTTTCAGTTCGTATACTTGTATAGCAATATACTTACCAGTAAAGGCATGACGTAACATATACTCTTCACACTTGAATATAAAATCAGGTTCAAGTATTGTAATGAAGTATTTAAATATACAATACCTTTAATAATGAATATGCACTACACAGCTTATATTGTATGTTGATAAGTTCTGAATTAATAATATGCTGCACTGACAAAGGTAGGATAACTTCACTACGTAGGACTGATAGTCTGGTAGAAAAGTCCCGGAACGGTTTAATAAAATGTTTACTAATATAGATAAAGTAATGAGATTTTGTATGTCAATAAGAGCCATAAATGTCTACTTTTTTAAGCTATTACCTCTTTTTTTTATCCCTTGAGGGGGGACGGCCCACGAGGAGTCGGAAGAAAATCTTAAATGGAAGCATAGGTCAATATGCACGTCAAATTAAAGGTATTTTTTTGTAGAATACAATGCCGCAAACCGCAAGATTTATCCTGCGCAAAATGGCAGATGTTCAAAGATTTCTTGAATCCGCCATTTTGAATCTTTGAACGACTGCCATTTTTTTACTCAGGCATTCTTTTGAGCTTGAATTTACGTTATCGTAATCTACTAGTGAAGACCTTTAATTTGATGTGCATATCAACCTATGCTTACGTTAACAATTGTCTTCCGATTCCTAGGGCTATGCCCCATGAGGATTAAGCGTATAATAGCAATGTAAATTAAATGAATCTTTGAACATCTGTCATTTTGCGCAGGATTAATCTTTTGAAGTGCGGTTTGTGGCATTGTATTCTACTAAAATAGATCTTTAATTCGATGTGCATATTGACCTATGCTTCCATTTAAGATTTTCTTCCGACTCCTCGTGGGCCGTCCCTCTCAGGGGATAAAAAAGAGGCAATAGCGTAAAAAAGAAGACATTTATGGCTCTTATTGACATACAAAATCTCATTACTTTATTTATATTAGTAAACATTTTATTAAACCGTTCCGGGACTTTTCTACCACACTGTATAATGCAGCTTGGGGTAAGTACACTTCAAAAGATAACAACGATGAAAATATGGAAAATGTATTTTCTTACAGTTACCTAACAATGTACATGTTCTCTCACTGATTTGAGAAAGCAAAGTGGCCAATTCGCTCATTAGTGAGACAATGTTAACATTGTCTCACTCGCAAGTTCAGATTTTCAACGTGACTGACAGCGTGATTGGCAGCACTGGCTGTAAATCAGCTAGTCAGCTGTTGTACTGTTGTATCATTATATGTCATATTAAAAGTTTACTTCCGTGTAAAAATATGTCACGTTTCTTTACCAATTTATTTGTTTTATGGTAACTGTAGGAAAAATATAATGTGCAACTCGAGTGCAAAGTGCAATTGCCTCACCCGAGAGAAATAATTACTCACGAGCCGTAGGCGATTGCGTCAATTGCCCCCTTTGCTCACTAGTTGCACAAATAACTATGTCCAAACTAAACCAAGCATTTTCTAACTCTCCATTACACCTTTTATATAGATGCATCCATCTTACTACATTATTATAGGGATTAGTAAGATATACAGTAGATTGTAGATGATAAACTTGAGCTAATTATTGAATCATAATAATTAATTATAAAAAATAGTCAAGTCCCATTTTCACCCATACACAAGCCGGGGGACCATAAATAACCAACAAATCTATATTTCGCTGTTGTCATAAATCACAATTTAACCTCTATTAATTAATGGGTGACATTTCTTGTACTCACCACCATTAATTTAATCTCTAAACTTAGTGTGGAAATTCGATGTTAGTTTTTACCTTTTAAATTTTTTTTATTAAATGAATAAATTGAGTTTTTTGAGTATATATATGTATATATATATGTAAAACAATAATTTTGAATCGCCCTGTATATTTAAATAATATTATTTAAAATCAGCATTAAAAAAGGATAGGTAATTTGATAACGACTTATAAGTGATTAATGTAAGCGCAGGTGGAAAAGTAGCATCTATTACAGTAGTTGGCCAGATTAAAAACTCCAAACACAATTTAAGCTAGTTAACCCTTAGCTTCTTGTCACATTAAGATAACGATTTGAGTCTCTCCATACAAATTATTTTACCGCGTAGACTGTGTGTTGAAACTGAAAATAATGATGTGGTTGCGCATACTAGTACTTTGTTGTGTTTAAGTTATTATGATGTGGGACAACAACTGCTGTAGTCCGTGGGTCATGAAATTAATGACGTGGTTGTGCATACTAGCAATGGGTTGTGTTTAAACTTATTATGATGTGTGACAACAACCGCTGAAGTCTGTGGGTCACTGAAACTAATTATGTGGTTGTTCACACTAACATTGTCTTCTGTTTTAATATGATGAGGGACAACAACTGCTATAGTCCGTAGGTCACTGAAACTAATGATGTGGTTGTTTATACTAGCACTGTCATGTGTTTAAGTTATTAAGATGTGATAACAACTGCTGTAGTCCGTGGGTCACTGAAACTAATGATGTGGTTGTGCATACTAGCACTGTCATGTGTTTACGTTATTAAGATGTGATAACAACTGCTGTAGTCCGTGGGTCACTGAAACTAATGATGTGGTTGTGCATACTAGCACTGTCATGTGTTTAAGTTATTATGATGTGATAACAATTGCTGTAGTCCGTGGGTCACTGAAACTAATGATGTGGTTGTGCATACTAGCACTGTGTTGTGTTTAGGTTATTATGATGTGGGACAACAAATGCTGTAGTCCGTGGGTCACTGAAACTAATGATGTGGTTGTGCATACTAGCGCTGTCATGTGTTTAAGGTATTATGATGTGGGACAACAACCGCTGCAGTCTGTGGGCCACAAAACTAATGATGTGGTTGTGCATACTAGCACTGTGTTGTGTTTAGGTTATTATGATGTGGGACAACAACCGCTGCAATCTGTGGGTCACAAAACTAATTATGTGGTTGTGCACTCGCACTGTGTTGTGTTTGAGTTATCATGATGTGGGACAATAACTGCTGTAGTCCGTGGGTCACTGAAACTAATTATGTGGTTGTGCATACTAGCGCTATGTTGTGTTTAAGTTATTGTGATGTGGGACAACAACCGCTGCAATCTGTGGGTCACAAAACTAATTATGCGGTTGTGCACTCGCACTGTGTTGTGTTTGAGTTATCATTATGTGGGACAACAACTGCTGTAGTCTGTGGGTCACTGAAACTAATTATGTGGTTGTGCATACTAGCGCTATGTTGTGTTTAAGTTATTGTGATGTGGGACAAAAACCGCTGCAATCTGTGGGTCACAAAACTAATTATGTGGTTGTGCACTCGCACTGTGTTGTGTTTGAGTTATCATTATGTGGGACAACAACTGCTGTAGTCCGTGGGTCACTGAAACTAATTATGTGGTTGTGCATACTAGCGCTATGTTGTGTTTAAGTTATTGTGATGTGGGACAACAACCGCTGCAATCTGTGGGTCACAAAACTAATTATGCGGTTGTGCACTCGCACTGTGTTGTGTTTGAGTTATCATTATGTGGGACAACAACTGCTGTAGTCCGTGGGTCACTGAAACTAATTATGTGGTTGTGCATACTAGCGCTATGTTGTGTTTAAGTTATTGTGATGTGGGACAACAACCGCTGCAATCTGTGGGTCACAAAACTAATTATGTGGTTGTGCATACTAGCGCTATGTTGTGTTTGAGTTATCATTATGTGGGACAACAACTGCTGTAGTCTGTGGGTCACTGAAACTAATTATGTGGTTGTGCATACTAGCACTATGTTGTGTTTAAGTTATTGTGATGTGGGACAACAGCCGCTGTAGTCTCTGGGTCACTGAAAAAAATGACATGGCTGTGCATACTGGTACTTAGTTGTTAATAAGTTATTATTTTATGGGACAAACTTTATGCGATTGCTTGCAGCCGAAGTTTACAGCTCAATAAAAAATAGCTGACTCTTACTCCCTAGGGAGAAAAGGAGCTGCTTCAGACTCGCAATACATAAATTGAAAACGATGTTTGAATACCTCATTAATGCATACTGAGGTATGCAAGATTTGCGTTGGAAACAAATCAATCGAGATTGGGATTAAACAAAATATAAACTTAAGCCACATAGCTGAGTAACATAGTTGATTTCAAAACAAAACAGAAAATAACAGAGTTTTCTGGATTTGTTAGTTTAATACTAACCTAATAAAATACATTGAAACACTATTTTGCAATAACAAGGCCAGGAAAGCTAAGTTATAGCTCTGTTACAAAATAAATATCTCGGCCTCGTAATTTATTAAACAAAAATCCAACTGAATATAAACATAACCAGACTTTTATTAAGATATATAAAGGCCTAGGCACTTAGGTATTAGAACGATTAAAATTTCCCTAACACTTAAGTGTAATATTTTATTTTGATCATAACTTTGCATCTGTTCTTTGTAGTGATTAATCTTTTTAAAACGATATTGCATATTGTGGTGTGAAACATTTCGCTATTTTATTGTGCGATTCCTCTATATGTTTGAATTTTTACATATGTATTTACTGAACGTTGTATTATTATTAT